GTGAAATTAAAATGATTTTCTCATCCTCCACATGCTTGTTTAGTTGTTTGCTATTGCTGGTTGGTGCTCCCACATTTCACTGTGCTTTCTCATTTGGGCCATATCAAATTCATATCAAACATAAAACCGACTACTTTCAGACTTAAAATCCTGATGTTGATCCAACCTGGAAGCCAAAGCAGATGGTTGGCACGACACTGAACATTGAAGCCCATGAGCCCACACTGAAACAAAACACACACACACAAACACACACACACACACACACAAACACATACACATACACATGAACTGACGCATACGATTCAACAGCTGTATAAAATGAGAAGCCAAAGATGAACACACAAGTGCATCCATTACAAACAGTGTTACTAACCCTTGGTTGTGCTCTGGAGTTATTATTACATTGTGGTTCTCCATCATGTAATATTTGACAATCACTGCCACACACAGATACGTAGCAGCCAGAGTTCCCAACACACTGAGAGAATGAGAAAAACGTTAGAAAACAATTATTTATAACACTTTAATATGAGTCGTATTTTAACATACTCTTATTTGTTAATTGTTTATTCATGATGTTCTACTATAAATTGACATGCAGCAATCACCAATCTAAATTGCAATAAACCCCTTTTGGACTTTGACTAAATCACATCAGGATAAACACTGGGCTGAATGTTATTGTGGGCACAGATACCTTGTGTATTTCTGGATGCCGATTTCTTTTGGAATGGAAAGGGGTAAGATGATGAAGAGGCACACCATGAAGAGGGAAAACCGCTGGTCGGAGTACCAGTGATACGGCATCTCTCCCTCACTGGACCCACTCACCGTCTCATATAGAGAAATACTTACTGGAAGAAGAACACGTCAGAGTCAGAGAGTTTTTTACTGCTGCACCGGACAGACAGAAGAATAGTGGCACTGTAATAATCTCGATGCTCACAGAATTGAGATTACATACATTACATACATTACGTATTTATTCATTTTTCGTCTCCTGCTTACAAATCTAGTTATGTTTTTTAAATGGTTGCAACATGACTGCGTTGACGTTTAGGTTGAATAAAAAGAATAATGAAAACCAGCAGTCATGCATACGTGTTTTAGTCTCACTAGAGTGAAATGCTTCATCTCCACTGTGCTCAATGATTCATTTTTTGGAAGTGTTCAGTTTGTAAATCCAATCAAGTGCTATGTTAAAAATTGGAACAGGGCAAAAACATAAAGAGGGATTTGAAGCGTTTCAGATGGGAAAAAAAAGGGTAAAATGAAAAAATGGCAGCATTACTGCTGACAGTCACATGTTTCCATCCTAATTCGAGCTGGAATGAAAATTAGAGTGGGGATGATTGAGAGATTAATTTTTTGATATGGAAATGGCTTCTAAATTGATCACAAACTCCTAATAATATGAAAACCTGAAAGCACTGTACTGCGATACAACAACAAATACTTCCTATCTAAACTTTGCAGCATCTCATAATCACATATCTACACTCTGGTTGCATTTTGTTGTATGTCTGATGCACACATGTTCAAATACTTCTTGAATTTCTCATTCCTTGTTTGTATTATGTATTTGTATTCTCTTTGCATACTTTACAATTTACATTTTATTTTACTTTATTTTTTATTTTATAGTTCTTTGATTGTGTTTGATACATAGTATTTTTTTACAATAATTTTTATATATAGAAGCATCTTTAAAATTATTTCTGATTCTGATTTATTATTTAACAGATGAGTGTGGAAAAGAGTTTAGCGACAATATATGTAGTTAAGAGAGAGAGAAACAAGTCCTTGACAGTGTTATATGGAACAGGAAATTACGTCTGTGAAAATAAAAATGTTTGGACAGAGCAAAGTCTTGTCAATTTAATCTACACACATTCAAATAAACCCTTGTCCCATCTTTGCCCAGCTTTCTAGACTAGGATTTCTACAGGACTTATTAGACCTTTTTAATACCACACGGAATACAATTTAATACTTTTCTAACGGCCATTCTTGAAAAGTATGTTGGACAACCAGTCAGGACAAATATGGGCCCAACTTATTTATTATTGTACGCAACCATTTCAATATTTCCTAAATGATATATTATTAATCACTTTTATGGGAAAGGACACAGATCAGTTACGGCCATTAAACAAGTGGTCCCTTTTTGAGTAGCAAGAGACATTTTAAACATTGTGAAAATAACACAACGTCATTCAGCCCTTACGTTTCTCCAGCTGGTCCTGCACCACCACCAGGAAGGCGACGCATATCATGAAGAGGTTGAAGCAGAAACAGACCTCACACAGTTGACCCACGGCTCCTCCACACACCTCCCTCACCACGTCCTGATACGTCTTCTGTCTGCTGACTGATGAGGCGTAGCCCAGGATGACCAAGCCACTGATGAGGAAGACCAGCGAAACCTGCGGGACAGACAGCATGAATGCATCTCAGACAACCAGCAAGCCCCAACGACCATTCTGCCATTTCCAATAGGTTGCCTTAGTTGTTTTACATTGAATGTATGAACTAATTGTTTGTAAATGTAATATTATAGGTACATAAAGAGGAAAACAGCTCAAATTTATATCGTGAGCCATCTATAGTATGTCTCATTCAAGATGTCACTGACCTCTTGAGCCACTGGGCCCGTTCTTGGAAAGTCAGATTCCAAATCTATCTAGGACACACACACATACACACACACACACACACACATGTTTGACCCTCAGCTAAACGGGTGGCTTCATTAGAGCTCACCTGTGAAAAGACGTGCCCCTTTCACACCAGAGAGAGACTCAGGAGGGGGGTGAGTCCCTACATACAATCTGCAGCCTAACAGCTACTAAACTACCCTCCTCCTCCCCAAAAAAGCCTTTGACCAGTAACCAGTATAAAGATACAGGTCAACACAATGCTGTAAAAAGCTCCTAACAGTCCAGTGAGCGTATGCACATCCATGCAGGGCCTTCAAAAGGCATCGCAGGCCTGCATTAAACAGTAACTGGGTGTAGTTTGTTCCTCACCAGCTCCACACTGACGGCGCTGGACACTCCACCCGCCTTGTGGAAAGCCCAGGGGAAGTTGAGCAGTCCGGCCCCAAGCGCGGACTTCAGCATGATGAACACCGCGCCAAACGAGCCGAGCCGCGGGGGGTCCGCGTGCGACGCAGACCGGGCCATCAGGCTGATGCTCTCGCGGGCCAGTTCCTCCATGATCCTGAATGAAGCTCCGAGAGATTCACGCTGCCGGGAGGAGACGCTTTAGCTGCCACTCTACTGGGAAGAACTTCAACAGCTCTTCCAAGGTTCTCCAGGTGTTTGGTTCATCCTACTGAGTGTTTTAACCTGGTGAATGGAAGACCATGCAAATATATAGCCTCCACCCACACACAACTCACGTGGCCTTATTGGGCAGTTTGAATATTAAACATTTCTCTCTGAGGTGACGAATATCTCACTAGAGTGTGTATGTTTGCTTGTGTTCTCTCTCTAGGTCTGTCTGTTCATTGCGTAAGATTAGTCCCCACCACACATCCTGACATATAGCTTATATTACGATCTCTAAATGAAGAAATAGCCCAGTTTTATTCTCGCTGTTGCATCTTCCATCTCTCTCTTAGATGTGCTGCAAAAGTCAGAACTGACCAGTAGTTGTTTACCTAAAAACATTAAAGATATTCTTCACAAACGTATTTTCCATACTCTTAACAGCTCGCTAGCAGTAAAGTCAGTTAAATACAGTTTTTGCAAAAGCCTGAAGTAACATAAATATTAATCATCATTATGTCATTCTGTCAGCTGCAGCTACTGTTGTTTACTTTTAATTTATTTCTTCTATATTTCTTATTCATGATTCAAATGTATTTGGTAGAGTTGGTGCAGCGTAGAATGTTGTAGCATTGGTGCTAGTGAGAGGAGGTTCCAGCCATGCGGATTGGGCAGTGCAATCTGCTACACATGGAATTCATAATCTCAGTTGTGTTTCATGCTACATACCATCTGTTAGAGAACATTGGTAAAAATCCCTCAACATTGTTCTAAAAATTGATTTCAGCCGCCCGGACGAATCTCTCTGGGGAAAAATCTAGTTTCGCTTTAATCTTAAGCATTTCAAAAACTGAGTGGAGAAATTGAGGTCTTTGCGGCGCCCTTAAACAATTTCATGGTGATGTTGAAGATTTTAGTAGAATACAGGACAAAGATTGATTCAAGTGAGCAGGAGCACCGTGTTCTGGGCACAATTCAGAGGCTTCACTGGGGATGGAGGTAGAGGTGAATAAATCAAACCAACACAGGAAGCTTTTGTTCAAGACCAGAGTTATTTTGAAGTTATGTTTGTGACGTATGGGAGGTGCTTTCCCTGGAAGTAGTTTACCTATTACTTATGCTTCTGGACCCAACCATTATGTTTTCCCTCAAACTGATGGAGTTTTTTGTTGCCTAAACCTTAAGCAAGCGCAATAGTTGTACATTTATTTGTCAGTTTGTCAACATGAACAGGGGGGGGGGTTGACATCAATTTGCCTTTTTTGGCAGACTAGATAGATAAAAACTAGGCGGCAGGTTTGAATACATGAATTTTTAGGCGGAATATAAAACATGACGTCCAGCTAAGGTTTCAGCGGCGGCTGCAATAAGTTCTGAAAATTCAGCATGTTGCAATAATTAGGTTATCACCTCCGACCTTTCGATGTCATTACCGGGTCACTTCATGTTGAAGTTAAGGCTACGCTGACACGGCAACATGCCACACAACCAATCATCATTCATTTCCTACCTTCTGCAAAGATACTAAGACTTCAAGGGTTCAAAGGTGCAACCTGTGGATGAATGAAGACAGATGAGATTAATGTACTCATGATTCTGCTGTTATGAAACAGCTTAAGAGTATTAAGACCACACACACACACACACACACACACACACACAAACGTACACACGTACAACTGACTCAATAACCCATGACCATGAAAAAGGAAAATAACTCGGTGATCTGTTGGTAAATGCAGGTTTAATTTCAATCTTCTTTTCTGGGTTAAATTCTGAATTAATCAAAGTGGCACATATCACTCTATACTGCTGTGAAAAAATAGAATAAGACAAATAACCAATAAGAAAAAAACAGAAAACAACACAGTAAACAAATTGCTATTGTGAAAACCGATTAATAAAATGCAGTCAGTCTTTGTATATCAGCCCAGTAACAAAGAAAAGTTATACAACATGAAATAACTTCATACCAACCGTTAATTCTATAAAGATGAAGGTTGGGAAACACTTGGGAAACTTCCCTCTCCCTCCTTCCCCCAATGTGCAATCACTATGTAGTTGGTTTAATTATTTGTGATTACCGTCTTGTTTTATTGAGAGTGCTCTGAATTATTAATTAATTGCTCCCCGAGGGATGCCTTCAATATTGATTGAAGTGAAACTAACAGACCACAAAAAGCAACATATAACGGCTTTAAGAAAGTATGGAAACCCACTGAACAAGGTCGCATCCAATGACACATTTTAACATTCTGCAAAATGTGGCAGACACCGCAAAGTAAGTTCCAACATCAAATCTAGTTTTCTGATATTAAACTGTTCAAACGCGATGATGAATTAAACTGTTCGAAAACAGTTTGGTGGCCTGTGATAATACTCTACTCAGGATGCCACATGATTGGATTAGAAGCATTTATATGAACACCTGGCCTCCCCTAAAATCTCTTTTGTCCTAAAAAAAATGAGGCAGTATTCCTGATGTCCTGCAGTAGGGACAAAAATAAGTATGGCTACAAAAAATATTAGCTTTTTAATTTCGACTTTGACATTCCTTCATCTTCATTAACTGTTCATCACTCCTGCCAACATGATGTGACCAACATATAGAAAGCATCGGATTCGATCACAATCATCAACTCATCTCAAGCGACACAGTTGAACAGTTGTCACAATAAAAGTAACTTCTTTGTGAACTTCTTCCTGAAAACCAGAAGTGGTCTTTTCCGCATTGCTATTAAAAGCATATACACTTTATAAGCTCCACCTTTTTATATCATTTTTCCTTCAGTCATTGCGCTCTTTATTTTGGGTTTGATGTGCAATCATGATGTGTTTTACTTGGAAAGGGTGATCACCATTGTGTGTTTGGATAGTAGGAGGGGGGCTGGGGGGTGGGGGGGGGGGCTAGAACGCTGAACTCTGTCTCACTGAAAAGACTCAATGGTTTCATGCACTCCGGAGCAGAAGAAGTAAGGTGGTGCACGCAGGTATCAACAGTGTGCAGAAGGTGGGACTGTGCATGTTCGTTTGCCCCTTCAGTTTATCCTGGTTGGTCTGGTCGGAGGGGGGGCTCTGGGGCGCAGGCACAGTGCTGGCGGGGAGGGTGGTGCGGCGGGCACACATGTCGTAGAGGTTTCCAGAGAATTGCGTCTTCCTGGACTCTTGCCTCAGAGACTCCCAAACGGCCGCGGCCTCGCCGGGACAGCCGGCCAGAGCGGAGTTGGCACAGACATGGAACGCATTCCAGGACCTTCGTGGAACCAGGACACGAGGAGACATCAGGCAGAATACAACAATGCAGTGCAACACAGGGCCCTGAGTAGTACATGAGCCACTGGTTTACGTCTTCATGCTGCTGGTCTGATGTTTAATTACTTCTCTAAGTTATAATCCTTTACTTCTTTGCCTTTTTTGTTTGACATCGCCTGGGATTACTGCCGGGGATGGCGGGTATGTTTTTACAGTACCGGTAAATAGAGAGGGCCATTCGGAAAACCAACAGACGAGAATTGTTGTTTTTTTATTAGAGAAGGTTAAAGAAAGAGTCTGAATCTAAACAATACAATTACAGGCCTTAACCCAAAGCAACGAGTTAAGACTGTGTAACCCTCCATGCAGCATGATTAGGTAATAATTATCTTGGGGTTCTTCACTGAGAGCACATGTTACATCCAGTGTGAAGATAACAAGAGTTCACATCCATGCAAAATCTCTAAGGCTGTCTTGTTGCTTAGAGCGCAATTCTTACATCAGCATACGAACATGCCGCCAATGACGATGGCAATAACAAAAGCAGGTATTGTGCTTGCCAAGTTCACATCTAATCTTAGCATGCCAACATTTGCTTTCATGAGAAAGAAAGTACAGCTTTTCATTCGTCTCGTAGACATTTCACATAAATCACCAAATGTCAACCTGTAAGGAAAATTCAGAGGATGACTAAGAATGATTTGGTCATTTATGCAACAGTTGTTGACCAAATAGATCCAATACATCCGTCCACCACATCGCTGACGGGGGCCAATGCGATTCATTATTATATCAGATTTAAGGATTATAACTTTTTTGAGACAAATTGTATCAAGACAGACAAGGCATTAACTGCTTGGTAACCACGGCGATGGGCAGAGACTCACCTGCAGATTGAATCGATGTCCTGTGTGCTCTGGTCTTTTTGTGTATCCACCAAACTGTCTCCAAGTGTGAGTAAACACTGGGCAAAACTCTTGTAGATGGAGCCACATGAATAGGGAATCGCTGCTCCAAAACACACAGTGACCAGGCCTGAATGAGCGGAAGAGAAAAGAGAAGAGTGTGTTTTGAACTTGAGAAAGAAATTATAAAAGGGTGTATCAATATGTGAAAATAGGGATGAGTTGGGGATGAGAGCATGAAATAAAATCTCTAGATTCTTTGGATCGGGTATTTCATCTTGTGGAGTGAAGCGTGTTGCGTTCATGGAGACATGATCCATCTGCTGCTTAGATGGATCAAACCAATACAGAATATGGGTATTGTATGTACTATTCATTCATCTGGACGGATTATACAACCCCAAAGCCAAATTCAGTGTGGGGCTGCAAAACCCTGTGTGAGCTGTCTCAGTGCATTGATCAGCTCATACGTAACGTGTCCCTCTGAGCTCGGTTTGACTTCATTACGTGTACCTGAAAAGGTGTTAATCAAGGTTTGACCGAACTATTCAGATGCTGATTTGGAATAGAGGACGTTTTTGCATTAACCAGATGAGTTAATATGAGGCTGTGTTAGTTTCCACATACGTACCACATCTTTTAGAAAAGGTCAGAGGCCAGCCAACCTTTGCAAGAACAAGTAGCAAATAACTGCAAGTCAATCTACCTGTAAGCCTGCTACATATATTGTGTATCTGTCTCTAGCTTTAAGAGGGGATTTCTCCTACTTTCTCCTGTCTATGCCAAAGTTCACATGTAATTCAACTTTTGTTGGCCTTGACGGGCTACGAATACAATTTGTTAAAATGTTTCATTATTATTAATTACTGTTCATCCCACAAGAACCGTTAGCATAGTTTTACTGAACACATTTAGTAATTTTACTGGGAAAAACAGGAAATACCCTAAAACTAACACATTTTCACACACACACACAAGAGGCAAGAGCAGGAGACAGTCAGAACACGAGGTGACCCGTGGCATTTGATCAAGGTAAGTGCATCTGTAAAACCTGTCTCTCCTCAGTTTCAGACCAACCTAAATAAAATATTTCTTTTGAGTCAATTAAACTACTTTGGGGGGTTTTCTGAACAATCCGATCACTTTGCGTTTCAAGACATATGTGAATACAAAAGACACATTGAGGAAACTGTGTTCTACAAAGGACGGGCAGAAGAAAGCAGACACAAATGTTTCCAGAAGACTTAAATGACCATAGTCAAAACACCGAGAGAACAACTAAAGAAACGTCCTTACTGAGGCCGAGAGAGATGTGCAGCAGCATGGTCACCGCGCCAGGTCGGGACTTCATTTCTGGTTCCACGAGTCCCGTGGAGTTGAGTTCCACCTCTGAACCAGAGGCTCTGATGTGAGGCTCCCACTGACAGTAAATCCAAAGAGTCCAAAGTTGCTGCTTTCAAATGTGACGTGTTCTGCCATCCGTTGGGAGTTCATCAGATTGCAAAACACAGCATTTCACGGGGACACAACCCGACTGGATTAACTGTGTGAGGGTCTGTTGCATCGCAGGGAGCGAGAGGAGGCTGTGTGTGCATGCATGTGCACCAGGGAGGGGGCGTGAGGCAAGAGCCACAGAGGGCTGGAAGGCAGCGGACCAATGACGGCATCACGACGCAGCGCCGTGGATTATAGAATACTCATTTCCGGTCTTTGGTATTAAGTACGTTTGTTGTGAAACACAAATCACTTATATGTGCATCATCATTTTTTTTCACTTCCTCTGTATTGTTCACACTCTTACCTGCTGCACAAAAATCTGAATCTGGTTTTATATCCGGGGGCAAGGAGTTTGTCACTGGTGAAAATAGAGCATAGCCTTATCAGAAGGGTCACGAGGACTTTTGTTTTCACGTGAACAGATGGATGAAGCCCCGCGGAGGATGAGAGAACCCTGCTCACCTGGGAGTCCAACAGACGCAAAGCGCCCTCCGAGAATAGCAGCGACCCATGAGGATCATCCAACGCTATGTGGGTCACGATGGGGTATTGAAGAGTGAACGTGTCAAACACTCTGAACTGATGACACACTATACATTCAGACCGTGATTTTAGATGTATGATTGTAAACCAACCTTCCTCTTTCAAAACTTTCCTTACTCACGCTTGTGCCTTCCATCCCCCTCCTCTTCCCCTCGGCCTCCAAATCCCCTGCCGCGCCCCCAGCTGGCCCACACTCTGTGCATTAGTATAAGTCCCTGTTCACATCTGTATACTGACACAGGAGGAATGGTAACCCATTGTTAATCTGTGGCTTAAGGCAACCATTAGCTACAGAATAATCTGTCTGCATCTGAAGCTCCTGGCCTCAATCAATACATCACAGGAACAATTCCAGCTGTTGCTTCTTCCTGAAAACATCAGCTTTTTGTAGTTTCTTACATTATATTACATCTGCTCAGGGTGGATCGAGTGTGAACCACGCCATGTTGAATTAATTTCACTGATTTCTTTCTGTGATGTTTTCTCTCTCTAGACTTTTGTTATTTGTTAACTGAAAGAATTCCATTGAGGGTCCCTGTGACACTCCTGTTTACTGTTTTTTTATTGTTTGGTCTTTGTAGTAGTGCAGAACCATCCTAATAGTGCAGTTAGTGATTATTCAGCTAATTATGGGCTTCCAAACTCCATTATGGGAAAGAAACGCACCTTGTTGCACATACTTTTTGCCGTGCACATCACCAGGCAGATATCATGTCTTTGTCACTGAAGCTTCCGTCCTCATGTTTTACAACAGTGGTCCTTTTATCGGCCATGTTTCTAAAAAGTATTTAGAATCATTAAAGCTTGTGTCACAGTTTCTAGATGCATATGTGTGAAGTGTGGTATTTTGGTATTTTTAAAAAATCACATGTTTTTCTGTAGTTAGATACTGTATCTATCAAGGTCACTCAAGATATACATCAAAAATCAAGAAGCCCTCTTAGGAGAGATTCACAATGACATGGTAATATAAATATCTTTTATACATTTGTTTGTGTGTTTGTGTGTGTGTCTATTTGCACATATATAAACACATACTGGTGACAGTGCCGTTCCCCAACACTTTACTTTAAGTATTTATTCAGTCAACAAACAAAGAAATCAATATTTTAGATGTTGCCTAAACACAAGCAGCTGTACCAGAACTAAGACTAAATAGAATATGATAAATATCTGACTCCGTTGTAAAAAAAAAAGGGGCAGGCCAAGTATGACCTGAAGGCTTTATGTTTAGTGTACATGGTATAAATGAGCACAGATACAACAACCTTTTAGAGAATGTTGAGTGTTGGGAGGGAGGTTTTCTGCTTACGATGGCAACCTGTTTGCTGACACTGACGCACTGCACACGCGTGTCTGATGTCACACACTACATTTCTGGATTACACATCTCACACACTGTTTCACTTCACTATAGTTGGATGTAAAGGAGGCTGCGGTGAATGGCGGCAGCCATCGGAAAGGACCATGACAGTTGAGTAAATTTGATAGACAGCTCTGGATTAAGGCTTTATGCAACACTGTTGGGAGTAAAAAAAAAAAAATCCAGATGAGATTAGGATCTCGCTCTCTCCGATGCTCTCTGTCCATCTATTCATCCGGCTCTCCCTCGTTCTCACGTGACACCGTATCACGGCAGGTCTTCAGAATGACGCATGCATCTTAAGTTTGCGTTGAGTGACAGCTTTACAATGACAATCAACATTCAACCGCTCTGATACGAGTAACAATTCAGCAAATGACCATCAGACAGAGGGATGAGTCGGGCTGCATAGACGGGAGATGAACCTCCTGCTCTTCAGGCTTTTATGCCGACGCCATCTAGAGGGAGAACATCGTGCTGCAACACCTTTTTACCACTTGTCATTGGTATTGTACTAAAATCTAGTGAAGAAACACAACAAAAACTTTTAATGGTGGACTAATTGAAACTATAGTGGTTTATAATCATAGTAATTTAAGATTAACACTCAGAATCTTCAGAATTTGCTATGATGCAAACTGTATTATCTTTTCCACAACCCAGTGAATGTTCCTAAAGCTCAACTTAGTGGACATTTTAAATCTGCTCTTCTTTCCTCAGAGGAAAGTGATGGAGAAGATGACTGTGATCCATTTGATTTGAGCTACAAACCTTCAACTCGGAAAGCAAACAAAGAAACTCCGGCCTCCTGACTTTGTAACCATTGGATAAAATCAGAAATCCTTCGGTGGGAATCAGCCAAATTTCAAACTGAAATTTACTTCAGAATAAAATGCTGTCAAAGCAAGTTGAAAAAAGAGAAATGTATGTAACAACCTGTGTGTAAAACCTTCATGTACAGGACAGAGAAATACGGCTTCTGCACGTCTGTGTCATTGCAGAAACAAGTATCACTGAAACATGCTGGTTCTCTTTCACAGCGCGACCTCTGGGGCATAAGGACACGTTCAGGTTGCATGAAGGTATCGTCAGAAAACGTTTTTCTTTGAACTTCTCTTATGTTTTTCCATAAAAATACCAAAAGGGTAAATGACGGGCAAAAAAAACGTAATACATGTCAAAACATTTGAGGGGATTAAATATTCTGAGAGACCCTTCAAGTTCAAAGGAGTCCCTTTAATTCTATTGTATGTTAATTAAATGACATTAGCAACACAAATATATGGAAAACAACAGGTAGCTTTAAAGGCAACTTTGATAAAATCGTTTCATTGACACCAAGAATAGTGTTTTGGTTCAAAGAATCCTTTCAATGCTTCATCTTGGCATTCTTTTACCTCTGCAAATCTAGAGCGACAATCTTCTTGCCTTCTAATTGAAATTCACAAGCAAGGAAATACACAATATCAGAGAAACCTAAAAGACAAAAACGTACTACGCAAACCAGGCAGTTTTGAGCATTTTCCTCATTTCATCAGTCCAGTTAGAAGTGAGTAAGTCTGTGTGATCTTGGTCTTTATTGATTAATTAAAATGTGATCTTGTTTTAGCTTTTTGTCAATATTGGACTGTGCGTGTTCCTAAGTAGTTTCCAATGATGTAGTTATCATTACTGCCTGCGATACATAAACTAGCCAGATCATCTTCTCTTTGCCACAGGCCAAAAAAAAAAACCCACAGCTCTGCTTATTTGAAAATACGTGGTCATCTGTCAGCATCTGATGCCTTCACACTCCTCGCAAGTCCTCTCCCGTCAGTCCGGGTCTCCCTGTGCGCCCATCACACCTTCTTCCGGACGCCAAACGCCGCAGAGTTCCCGTACAGCAGCCGGTCCCGTTCCCGCACCTCCTCCTGCAGCTTGGCCTCGGCCACCCGCAGCTGGCGGATGGTCGCCTTCATCTCCTTCATCTTCACCTCCATCAGCGCGATGATGTCCCGCTGCTCGTTCAGCTTCCGCAGCAGCTCGGCCGACGTGGTGCCGGTGGTCAGGGAGTACGAGTGGTCCAGCGGGCTGCTGGTCACGCTGACGTACTGCACGGTGGTCGCGGTCTCCGCCGATGGATCGTCGGCCGTGAGCTCCTCGGTGGCGGCGGGGTGGAAGCAGGTCCCCTCGGACTGGGCGGGCAGCCGCGCCGTGCCCAGGTACTCGCCGTTCTGGCCGATCTGAACCACGGTGATGCCGTCGTCGCTCGCCTCGCCGCCGGCGGTTCCCTCGGCTCCCACGGCCGCGCCGTCCAGGACGCCCGTGAGCACGATCCCGGAGGTGGCCGCGGCGGCGGGAGCAGGAGCCGCCGCCGCGGCCACTTTCCTGCCTCTCCCCCGCCGACTGCGGCGCTCGTTTACCCCGCGCAGAGGGAAGAGGGACGGCACGCGGATGGTGTAGGTCTTCCTCCCGCCGGCGAAGTGCACGCTGCAGACCCGGTGTCCGGTGGTGGGCTGGAAGGTGCTGAAGCAGCCGCTCACCCCGGCTCGGGAGATGTTCCGCAGCCACAGCTCTCTCAGCGTGGTTTCTTTGGGGAATGTGTAGAAGCGCAGGTCCCGGTCCCGGTGCGAGTTGTTGTAGCATCCAGGCACACAGCATGTGAACCCGGGCATGTTTACTGCAACGCAGAGGCTAAAAGCACAGTCTTCAAATGAAGTTTAGGTTATTTTATTGTTGTTTCTTTATTCTATGCGTTGTTATCAAGCTTCAGTGGCCTACAAGCGGAACTACACGTCCCACAACGCTAACAACTTCCTGTTTATTTTTCACCGAGAGTAAGCCGCTTTTGTTCTTACGACGGTTTAATCTACTTTAATTTGCCTAGACCTTATGCATGCATATATCTTACTTATGCTGAATTCGAGGCCGATATTTAATTTTCGCTGTTAAATGTCTCGATTTATTCTTCGCGGTGTTCGCAAACCCACAGTCCTCCACTGAGAACTAAAAGTCCCAGAAGGCCTTGCGGTTCACGTCCGGGTCCGCCCGTACTCGACCGCCTCTGCTGGCCGGGTGGCAGTATTACCACTTGGAGTTCTTACAAATTTAAACAAAAGGTTTTCAATTAAATGGAAGGAATCCTTTGGGAAATGTAAACATGCTTCATGCAATGAGCACTACTAGTTTATAGCGGTCTACTCAAAATAGCCTTGATCAGTGTATCACTGAGACCACATAATTGAAAGTCAAAATAATTAGCTTGACATATGTGAAGCTGCACAAAAACACAGGTTATTTCTAGTTAATTTCTTAAATAATCTAGCAGAATGATATAACATTGAACTTTGACGTAACTTTTCCAAAGAGGCTACCATACTGAATCATGGGAAAACATGGTGTCTGATAACAGAGTGCACTTGCCACACTGGAGAATGATAGCCACGTAAGTTCATCCATCATGTTTCAGTTATTTATGCTTGATCTACAAAAATAACACGTGTCACAGCGGGCTTATTGTTTACAGGCATTGGGCTGACGCCAAGGGGCGAGTCCAGCCACAGGGGTCCGTGTGTTCCCCACGGAGGACCCATCTCCGCCCTTGTAGCATCCCTGTCAGCCCACAGAGGGCTCCGTTGCTACTGGAGTTACCATTAGCAACTGGGCAGCGCACGAGCGAACACCCTCAACCGCTGTTGATGTGGTCCTGGCAAATACACAAGGTAACGTTAGCTAATGTTACATTTCACCGTGGGTTGTTGTGTATACCAAGTTTGAATGCCGTAAGGTGGGTTTATTTTAGATACTAACGTTACGTTAACTCCGTAAAGTACCGTCGGTTATCGGGAGCTGTTTGAGTTGGCTGGCCCCCGGCTAGCTGAACCTTCTAGCTAATGTTATCAGTAGCCTGGTCTAACATTAGCCTAGTGTGTGTGTGTGTGTGTGGGGAGGGGGTGTGGACCTTCGCTATCCGGAACATTATTCGACAGTCACATTTGTGGTCACTTTCAGCAAGTTTGTGGTATCAGGAAAAACATGGCGAAGACCCAACTACCCACCGGTCGCTGCAGCGATGATTTCTCGCGGCGTGGCTTTGTTATCTGACCAGCCGACAGCAGCACGGCGCGGCTCGGTGACCCTTCCAGAGCATCAGAGAGTGAACCTTCAACTGCTGTCAGCCTGCTACGTTTATGTGTTTGTTGCTCTGTATGCGCCCTGAGGGCATGCGATGTGAGCAAGCAAGATCTTTTATTTTATTACAGAGACAAGTGAGACAGACAGTAAGCCCCCACCCTCCTACCCAGGTAGATCACACCGGTGCCCCAAGGTCCATAGCCGGTGACCTGTTTAGGAGTAGGCACCCGGACATTTGCTACAGAGGTAGAGGTGACGTTGACTTTCGGTGGGTGTGGAACATCGGAGGAATGGCATGTTAACTATGTAGCAGGACACAGAGTAAATCGCTGCTGGAGATTACTGAACAACCGGTCTAGACCTCTATCGAACATGTTGGTCCTGTTTGTTGATTTAGTCACTAGAGGTGATGTGGATGTTGTCCTGTGAGACAAGTTATTGTCTGTAGTTTTGAACCTGCATTACACTTAACTGATATAATAATGAATGTGTTTACATTCATGGCTGTAATGGCTCCCATTATTTTGAACTATTGTATGGAAAGGATTTTGGCAATGTCACACAGTACCATTGGTTCTTTTCTTGTATTCTTACAGGTCCTGTAAGCTGCCCTGGAATTTTAGGATCTCGGGATGCCTTTGAGGCTAGCCATGGTTAACACGTAAGATAGCAGTGAGTGGCACTGCTATGTTGCCAGGCGTCGGTGTATTTGGCACGGGCAGCACGGCCCGAGTGCTTGTCCCGTTGTTGAAAGCTGAAGGCTTTGAGGTTCATGCACTCTGGGGGCAAAGCGAAGAGGAGGCGGGCTGCTTGGCGAGGGAGCTTGGCATCCCATTTCACACCAGCCGATCTGATGACGTCCTGTTGCACCAAGATGTCGACCTTGTTTGCATCTCCATACCACCCTCAATGACGAGACAAATTGCTGTCAAAGCACTGGGTAAGAGATCATGAATCCAAATTCCCTTTTACTGAAAGGTTTGTTTAAACAATAAATGTCATGCTGTGCTGTCCTAAAAAAACCCTACACACATTGACTCTTACCGTAATTCACTAAACATTCATCATTGTAGTTCACTTTTCCTTTAGATATTAATGGCTAATGTGATCGGACCCAGCTGGGGTTGGTAGACAATAGATATGAAATTTATTACTGCAATGACCTGAAGTCCTCTCCAAAGAATGCATTTCTGAAAAGGTATCCTATCTCTCTCGGTTCATCATTGAGATTTTGGTAATGGTGATCTTACCCGTAAACTCAGGGAACTTAGCAAGGTCTTTAAGGAGGCAAGAAACAAAACAAACCGTACTAACAAACACTTGAAAGTTTCCACATTTACTAACAGCATATTGAAGCAGACATAATCCAAACATTGTCTTATCAGAGGAGAGTAGATCTATAAAGTGAACTTACCGTATCTGATGGAATTCCTGAGTGTTGACCTCAGCTTCCTGTTTTAGTTGCAACTTCCTGAGTGTGTCCTTGCCAAAGACTTATCCACGGCAATACTTCCACAAGGAACTAAAGGCCTGCTATCGCTATTTAAAAGCTATACACACCTTTTATGTCTTCACAGAGCACTGGGACACTATGTCTGCCCCACATCTTCAGATCATATGTTATATACAGACTACTATATAACATACTAAAGGAAATGCAGTCTAATGCCACAGTTTTACAAAAGAAACCCTAGGAGAAATCCTAGTTCATGGCTTAATTTTGGAAGTTGATTTATGCTGCTGTCAAATTATATTGAGAGCTGTTTGTATAACTTTTTCTATCTTCGTGCATATGTAGGAACTTACGACCTTTACCTTTCCAGGTAAAGGTCTCACAAATGAACATAATTCTTCAATCCTCAAAGCAACTGCAAAAATCAAAGACAACATGAGGATATAAACAAACTACACCGCAGTTAGACAATTTCAACCTTAGTACCCCTAAGATTCCAACTTGAGATATCCAGATTATATTTTGCACACTTTTGCACGCTGAGTGACATCTAGCATAAATCTAAAGTTGGAAGGTTTGCAAAAGCGTGAGTGTTTTTAAAAAAGCTCAGATTCATTGTGCTGTTTTATGTTGTAGAACAAAATGTGTCTTAACCCTTTTTAAATGCTAACATTATTTCAAGCATCTAACCATCTTTGAGATAAGCGAACTGTACAAAAGTACAAAAATGCTAAGCATTTTCATTTAAAGTAGCTCTGCTTTAGCACTTTATTGATTCAGTTTTAAATTAATAATGATAACCCTTGCTCTTCTTCTCTCGTTGCAGGTATTGGTAAGAATGTTGTGTGTGAGAAAGCTGCAACTGCTGTGGATTCTTTCAAGATGGTGACTGCTGCCAGATACTACCCACAGCTGCTTAGCATTATGGGTAATACCCTGCGCTTCCTGCCAGCTTTTGTGGCAATGCACAAGCTGCTTTTGGAGGGATACGTTGGAGAAATGCAGGTGTGTGATGTCCGAGTCTATGGCCCCAGCCTCCTGGATCAGTCTTACGGCTGGACATGTGAGGAGCTGATGGGAGGAGGCGGTCTCCACACGGTCGGCTCTTCCATCATTGACCTTTTAAACTACTTAACTGGTTTTCGAGCCCATCGTGTTCATGGCCTGCTGCGGACCTTTGTACAACAAAATGGTTTGATTCGAGGCATCCGCCGCGTCACCAGCGACGATTTTTGCTTCTTCCAAATGTTGATGGGTGAAACTGGGTCCAGCTCTGGTGGTCTATGTTGCACTGTGACCCTGAACTTCAACATGCCAGGGTCATTTGTGCACGAGGTTATGGTAGTTGGATCCACTGGGAGACTGGTTGCCAGGGGTGCAGAGCTATATGGCCAACGCAATGGAAGTAAAGGCGAGGAGCTGTTGCTAGGCGACAGTGGGTGGGTGGGACCGGAGGTTAAAGAGATGCCCCTTCCTCACCTGCTTGGGCTGAGCTCCATGGTAAAGGGGCTGAGACAGTCTTTTCAGGCTCACGAGGAGCGCAGGTCATGGGCAAAAGGACCGGTTGCCATGGCGCCAACATTTGAGGATGGTCTCTATGTGCAGACGGTGGTCGAGGCGGTGAAACGGTCCAGCTGTAGTGGAGAATGGGAATGTGTTGAGATCATGAGTCAGGAGCCAGATCCAAATCACAACCTGTGTGAGGCTCTGCAGAGAAATAAGACCTAAATATTATATTATTGATTATTTATACACCTAGTGCAACTTATCTATGTATCTGACAAAACTGGGCTCTGAATGTTTTTTCCTTTTACTCGGCTGCGGAGGGCGTTTACATTACCCATGACTACTTCTTAGAATACTTTAATTTAGTAAACATGACTGTGTAGTGGATGTTTGTACCCTCACAGTGATGATTTGTTTTTACATACAATTAGTTACCACTGCTCCCTTATTCTGATTCCCCAAAATATATATATTTAAATAGCTACCTGTTTTTTGTTTACACGTTTATGATCTCTTTCTGACAGGTTGTCACCTGTCAGAAAGGCACCACACCTATGTCAAATATTGGCTAAGAGCAAAATTCCCTAGAAGTTTAAAAAAAAACTCCTTTTCCTCACTTTAATGATCATGTCGGGATACATCTTTTAATTTTAAGAAACATTTTTTTTCCATTTATGTATTTCTTCTTTAGAATATTTTTATTAAATTTTATTCTTTGTGAAGTCACCAGACCACCAGTGGTTCAAGTGTTTGCCAGAGTTTACAATTACACCAATAAATGGATAAATAGACGTCTGCAAAGTTGGTGCACAGACGCATACTTTTTTCTAACTACCCAATTGGTTGAGTCAAGCCATGCATAACATTTAGTAATGTGGCTCAACATGAAAATGTTTAAATTTCTGTTGTGCCTAACGTTTAGATTTTGGCTGTTTGGTTGTTTTTCCCCAACATGAATAGCACCTTATTCTGAAAGGAAGTTGTTCTTCCTCTGAAACGAATGTGAATATGAGAGTATGAGGATAATTTGACTAACAAAACACTACTGGCAGAATTCAAATGATATTGATATGATATGTAGGTCAGCCTTTGTCATTTTCAGGGTAACAGAGCTGTGCAGAGTTTTGTTTCATTTTTTATGTTTGTAACGTAAGATAATAGACATCCATATGTTATAACATAAAATTGCATGAGATACCAGGGATTGAGTAAAATAAGCTATGTGAAAAACTGAATAATAACGGGTCTAGTTAGTAGCACTGCCCCTCACAACCGCAATTCCGAAAGAGATACTTGATCTTAAAATCTTTTTTTGGAGTATCACTCACACCGGGTCAACTGGAAAGACATGTCCTTCTTCAGACTGAGCTAGAATGCTTGACTGCTGCAGTAGTACCTGTTTTCCACTGCGGAAACTCACTGGTAATCCTTTAAACCATTGAAACTGACTGAAGAAGGAGACTACCATCTTTTAGAAGCCACCTGTCAAGTTTACACATGAAGTTTACAGAATGAGCATTTGATGCTTTGATTCTAGATTTTAAGGATTAGTGTCACGTTAAATATCACATGAGAAGAAACCAGCTTGTTCTAGAAATTCAAGATTAGTGACATTTTTATTGTTAAATTGTCAAAGGTTTTAGATACAAACCCTGAGACACTTTGGTGACTAACTTTAGTTCATACGGTTTGTTTACATCTGTTATCCATTCAAGCAATTTTATGTTGTTGTTTTTTTTTCACGTAATCTCTGCATTCAAAATTCTTTAAATGGGCTTGATATACACTCTCACACCCCATTCACCCTGAAACCTTTGCGATCTCTTCATTGAGTAGAACCACTGGACTTATTTCCTCAGACCAAGAGAAGAGAGCGTTAAACAGTTTACGGTTGTTGGAGTCTCTCACTGCATCTCTGCACTGATGAAAATCTTGAATAATATTGGGCCTCGGTGCTCCTACTGCAGAGACAGGGAGAGAAAACAAGCCGTGTGTTACTACTTGATTTGATTCATTCGCAGAATCTGCAAATAGGTATACGTACACTTACCACGCTTACCTCACGCTATCCTGACAATGCTTTACAAAGACAATTATAGTTTACAACGAGCATCTTTAAAAAACACATCCTATTTGCCTGCAGGATGTTTCATAACCCACCACTATTAAAATGCATTCCAACTCAGTTTTCACCTTCTTGTTGCTCTTGTTTTTTGGGGGGGTTTTGCACTGATAAAATGCCACATGTGTAATATGCAGTGTGGTGCAGCTGGCTTACTGCATTTTGTACCGTGTCGGCACAAGGAAGATTTGTTCTATTTATTTATGCCTTGGTGTGTAGAAAGTTTCCCATCCTTCATTCTGTTCAGTGTATGTTTTTTCAGCCTGTGACTTTAAGTTGTAATATTTATCTTGCCTAGAGTTAGTGTTGTTTTAATTGATAACATTAATTACTTTTTGAGCACAATGTGTTGCATTTAAGTTGGGAAACTGTACTGTTCATCTACCTAACAGATATTTCTTTAAATAAATACAGTTGTAATTATTTTTGTGTTCCACATTCAGTTTATTCATTTTTTTAAGAGAAAATTGGCCTCTACCTGCAGTATTTAGGTATTCAAACCATAGAACATGTCAATTTAACACATCTAATATTATGGTTGTGTCAATTAGACTGAAAAGCAGCATGCTATCAGAGATTCAAAGATTTTTATTGTCATTTACACACTGTTTACACCCTGTGTATTGAAATTCTTGTACTTGCCTTTCCGGAAAGCCGACCAATTTTAAAATTAAAATAATAAGAATACAATATTTACATAAATGTACATGAAATAAAAAATAAAAAAGGAGGTAAGGATAAGGCAGAAATGAGGTGACGAGGAAAAGTGCAAAACTGTGCAGGTTGTAAAAGCACTTATATAAGCACTTTCGAACATAATATCTGCATGTCTCATTATGGCTCGTCCTTTGTCGCCATCAAGATGTATTTCTCAATGGGAGCATTATGCTACAGTCACGTGGGGATTACAGGATCTGATTGCATAGTTTGAAACATTACACCTGGTAGGTATTAAAATAATCGCCTTTTCACTCTACCAAGTGTTCAACAGACAGTCACAGTAACAGTCAACATGTTTTTGAGGTCATTATAATATCATCTATTATTTGGAATGGAGATGACGCGGTTCGTTTACGTTTCCCTCGCGGTAGCACCAGTCTACCCCACCCCGGATATGACGTCAGTTGCAGAAATGCATTGTGGGGTAAAGTTTACCCAAGAGTAAATATAATAAACTCAAAGCTAAAGCTAACGTCGGTTTAAAGAAGATTGTTATCATAACAACTGAACTTTGGAAATAACGTGATCCCTCAAGTTGACGGATAGCAGGTAGGCTGAATATGAGCGAGCCCGGAGGCTGATTCCGGGCAGAGCGGCCGGTACGGACCGCAGAACAAGCGTCGTTTCTGGACTCTTTAAAACCGCCAGCAAAGAAACACCTCCCGCTATCGGTCGCGATAAGACATGGGAACCGGGTGTTCTATCATTTTCTGCTACTTGTCGAGAACTGCTACTTTGTGGTATTGCGCACGCGCATCAAGTTTCCTTGACACGCCCATAATATTTTGCTTCTGTTGGCGAACAACGTGTTAACGGTGAGTAACATCCTCAAAATCCCCATTATTTCCTCTTTTGGCCAAGTTAAAAAGTCCATTGAGCATGTAGATTGTACAATGACCGTTCTCTTGAAATTAGATATTAAATAATTGCATGGACTGTGTATCATTGCCTCCGTCCACTGTGTCGTATTATCCGTAGTCCGTTCCCCATTTGCAGAAACACGGTGAGAAACATCCACCAAAACCCCCTTTCTTCGCGCTTTTGGCTTATTTAAGATAAATAGCATACAGCTTGCAAACATACTGCCCAATTTTTTTCAGGTAGTAATAACATGTAGATTGATGAGTGATAAGCAGTTGCTATTTATGTTGTGTCAACAAATTATTGTAAACATAATTTTGTTCACATTATTATAATAAAGCACTGGTTTATTATTAGGCTATTTATTGTTGAAGATAAACACTTGAACTACTGGAAAAAAATTAAAAAATCAGTGAAAGTCAGTCCTTCCTCCCTTACAACAGCAACCTTCTGGGGCCATGTACATGTAGAAAAGATATGCATATACACAAATACCCATACACAGACAGCTGTCATATTAGATTATTCTTAATTCTTATTAACAAGCAGTTATGTTAACATGCACAAATAGGGCTTTTCTGAAATATGACATGATATTTGAGCATGTTGAATAAGTGGAAAGCGACTTGTTAGCCCCCATGAAATGTATGTTAAATGCTTTATTGCTGTTCTGTCGATTTCTGCTGCTCAAAAAATAACAGCACCTGTCCTTTTAGCAATGGAGGAAAAGTGGGAAGAAGTCCACAAATACCTTTCTGAGGGACTATACCCTTCCGGGTATGGTAAGTCCCAGAAACTGAACCTCAGAAGGTACAGTGAGAAATTCACGCTGAAGAGTGAGTATCTGAAAAGCCTTCAAATGTAGCTATTGCGTTTCATGGATTAGTCTGTAAAGGGTTTAGTTTTTTAATGATTTTTCATTTTAGATGGTGAGCTCTTCATTGGAGAGAGGAGGGCCATAAAATTAAAAGCTGATGCAAAGAAAATCTTTGTGGAATTTCATGATTCCCCCATGGGGGGGCATTCTGGCATCATAAAAACGAGGCATGCAATTTCCTCCAGATTTTACTGGAAAGGGATGAGCATAGACATTGATGCCTGGGTATGTTCTCTGAAGTTTCTATTCTATTTTTGTTATTCCTTATCAATTTTTATGAAAGTTATACAAATGTTAATTGTTAAAGGTGCTGGAATGTGACATGTGCCAGAGGCTTGGAACACCTCTGGCATCTTCAGAGCCACTGCAGTGTATCAAGGTAAATCGGTAGACCTGCAGTGACATTTGTTATTTAGTGTACTGTCATTAATGTGCCAAACCATTAATGTTTATGCAGTGGCAGTGTAATTTTTGGCATCAAATATTCACGTTTGTATTCAAGTAACATTTTTATATTTTTTAATTTCAGCTTTCAACCATCACCGTACCAAGTGAAAACAAGTGTGATGCGGTACTTCGGGAACAGCAAAAGGCAATGGAGATTGCAAATTTAAAAGCAGCAGGCAACATCGAAAACAGCCAAGAAAGGCAAAGGCAGGCTTATGCCAAACGAGTCAAAGGTAGAAAACCATAAAGTAGCGTTTTTTGATCGGGTAGCATGAATCGATAGACAGAGCCATCGATTTATGCGGCGGTAGCAATTCTCGACAAAGCAGCAAAAATTGACAGAACACCAGGCAGTGAACTGTTCTGCATCGGTATGGTTCACTTTCTTGCTCATCTGCTCGCTGCTTCACGCTAAAACGCCTCTCGCACGATCCGGGCCCCTTTAGGTGCTGCCGATTGAGTGAAGTGATTATCGCATTGGTGTCCGCATGTAGCTTGTGTGTATATTGTTTAAATTGGATGTTCTTATATTGAAGACATTATATTGGATATATATGTTGGCATGACGCTCCCTTTATTTTCTTTCTTATATTGAGGTCATGTTTGCAGCTGGTGCTTCTTAGATGGGCTAATTAGGCAGTTTTTCTGCAGCTCAATTGCGGCTTAATAATGTTCGCGATAACGCCGCTACAGTACTAAATCTTCTCAGGTGCTCTGGGATTTATTTGAGATGCATGGCTCCGTGGCTTGCACAGACATACAGACATTTTGGAAGATGAGGAGTCCCTGTCTAAGTACAATGTTGATGTGAGGTAATGGTCCGGAAATCACGCCTCCCGGCTCCGATATCCAATCAATCTTCTGCGACGTCCTTAGACGAGAGAAGCTTGGCTTGTGTACATTCTGTCACAAGTGGGTTGTTTCAACCCAAAATACGATTTACCTTCACCAAACCAAGACGACTTGTTGACTGTATCTACAGAGACTACTTATACACTCGAAGCAAAATGGTTGCACATTTATTCAGCCTATTTTATACGTCGACAAGCTACACAAATCTGCCACAAAGATACAGAACCACAGTTGTATTTTCTGATGTCCTTACTAATAATATGCATTTGGTTGTTAATCACTCTATTACATATAGTACTGGAATATATGTTATATTTAAAAGAAACTATTTTTACAATTTTACAACCAAAACAATTTTGCTTTTAAATGAACCAAAGTTACCGAGCAAAATACGTGTGAGGCTGCAATGATTTTCCAATTTCTGTATTTTAAACAAATATTTAAGAAATTATTTAAACAAATATATCAACTCAATCAATAATCATTAATAATCATTTGTTATTCTAACTTTTTTTTTCTCCTTATTTTTAGTTGAAGCAGCTCTGGAGGACGGAGACTCTGATACCTTTACCATGTTGAATGAAGCTGGCGTTAACTCTGCTATTGATGGCATCCCATGCGGTGTTCAAGGACGTCCAGTGGAAGGAATAAGACACGAGGCGGCGAGTGATGATCGCCCTGTAAAACGTAAACGGAATAAACGCAGCTTGATTTGGAGGCACTATGAGGAACTGGACGGATTGGCAGCTGCTCGCTGTTGCATTTGCATGAAGTTGCAGTCCTTTGAGGGCGGCAGCACCAGCAACCTGCACCGGCACATGTCAAAGAGACACCCAGAGGTGTTTTCTCAGCTGGCAGCTGATCGGCGGCCCCCACCACCAACCCACTCATCGCCCATATCAGATGCTAATGGTAACATACAAACATAGATGGAATATAATTTAATATACTGTACAATATCTGCAGAACTTTGACCACACTGAACAAATAATGAATTAGTGAAAATCCTAATCCTCATTTTTCTTATTCTTAGTGGAAGTGGTTCTGGAGGATGGAGACTCTGACACCCCTAATTCTACTATGAATGGCATCCGGGAGTGTACACAAGGAGATCCAGCGGAGCAGATGAGACACAAAGAAGCGAGTGATGACCAACCTGTAAAACGTAGACGGAGTAAACGCAGCTTGATTTGGAGGCACTACGAGCATCTCGATAGTTTGGCTGCTGTCCGCTGTCGCATTTGCATGAAGAAGTTACAGTACTTTGAAGGCGGCAGCACCAGCAACTTGCATCGACACATGTCCAAAAGACACCCGGAGATGTTTTCTCAGCTACTTGCAGACGGGCAGCCGCCACCATCCCCCCACTCGTCACACAGCTCAGGTGTTGACGGCGACACCTTCGTGCCACAAAATAACGCCGGGGCGACGGAGAAGCCAAGGCTGTTTTCTGGTAATGTTTAATAGCTCAGTGTTGTTTGTGTATATAATTCATTCTGGCTTATTGAAAGACACCTTTCAGAATAGGTGGCAAAAAGATATGTTGTTATTACAAAAACCTCTGCATTTATTAGAATAATAAAATGTAAAATGTTGTTTAAAGATCAACTTAGATGAAATACTGTTTAAATTCCACTATGTGGGTTGAGTGGATGAATTGTCTACATGTTTAAAATCAATTAATATCAAGTTTTTTATTTTTTTGTTATTCTGCATTCAAGATCTACATCGCAATGATACCAAACGCCCGACCTTGTATTTCCCTCTGCTCACAGGTGTGTTAAAAGTTTCAAAAGCATCCGTAGGAGAAAAGCGCGTTCTCAGGAGAGAGCGGGAGCTGATTGAAGCTCTGAGGGCAGCGCAGAGAGAAGAGGCCCGGGCTCTGGAGCATCAGAGGGAGCTGCTGGAGAAGCTGCGTGCAGTGAATGCCAGAGAGGCAGCTGCAGAGAGGGAGCAGATTGAGTCATTGAGGACAGCACAGCTGGAGGAAGCCAAAGACTTGAGTCGGCAAAGAGAAGAGGTGGAGAAGGAGAAGTCAGAGCTGCTGAAGATGTTAGAAGAGCTTCAACGGCAATGAGAAGAACTTGTCTTGTTTTCAAGTCGACAGCAAGCCACAAGCTGACCTTCTGGATTTTAGATATTCTAATATAAGACTTTGGTACTACTTCAAACATATGTTGGTGTAAAAAAGTGAATTTCACTTTTAGTTAGATATAATTAGCAAACAATCAATAGACAGTGGTTTCCGTTAGTGTCACAGCTGTGTGGAACTGTCTTTCCACTCCTGCTCACTCTGCTCATTTCTCATTGAATTATGTGATATCCTGATGTCCTCTTGCATTACATGCAAAAAAATACACACTGCAATTTTCTGCAAAAAATACACACTGCAAAAAGTTAAGATTTTTGGCAAAACATATTTGGTACCAACTTATCAGACTAAAATACAGTTTGTTGTATCACTTAAATGTGTACTTTTGCCATGGAATTTGATTAATGGGAGTAGAAGCTGACATACATCAGCAGGTCTATTACAACATTTTAGATTTTTTTTACCTTGAGGGCTTTAAATAATCAAACATATTGTATTGATTAATGGTTTCTCCACTTGTATTGACACACACGTGTGTTGCGTTACGGTAAGCGTGTTGCGTCACTTCCTGTTACCAGCGTGTTTGATGTCATCGAACTTTTCACAGCTCTAGCTATACTGAGTTGAATGTAGCGTGATATTTTTCATCACAACGGTGAATTCTTATCTACGTGAGGCGCTGTTAAACGCCTCACCGTCTAGCAAATTTTCGCTCCATCGAATAGTTGCTTGGACGTTGTTTAGCGGCAACGTTACTTCTATTAGCGTTAGCATTAGCTTAGCAGCTAACCTGGTGATGTCTTCCCTCCCTGCCTCTCCTGCTCTTTCTTGCTCGGTGTGTCACATGTTTAGCTATTCCTCTGCCTCCCTTACCGATAACGGTACATGTAAGAAGTGTAGTATATTTGATAAATTGGAGGCGAGGCTTAGTGAGCTAGAAGCACGGCTCCGCACCATGGAAGCTCAGTCGTTAGCCGCTGTAGTTACCCCGCCCACCCCCGTAGCCGGTGCGGGCCACATAGACGTAGTGTTCGCTCCTGCTAGCCGTCCCCCGGCAACCCCCGAGCAGCCGGGAGGCTGGGTGACTGTTCGGAGTAAGCATAAGTCTAAGTCGAAGCACACGGTTAACCACCAACCACTTCACGTTTCAAACCGCTTCTCCCCACTCGGCGACACACCCGCTGAGAAGCCAACTCTGGTGATAGGTAGCTCCATTCTGAGGAACGTGAAGTTAGCGAAACCAGGGACCATAGTTACATGTATACCGGGAGCCAGAGCGGGCGACATTGAGTCTTATCTTAAACTGCTGGCTAAGGATAAACGTAAATACAGTAAGATTGTAATACATGTCGGCGGTAATGACTCCCGATTACGTTGCTCGGAGGTCACTAAAGTTAATGTGGAATCGGTGTGTACATACGCTAAAACAATGTCGGACACCGTAGTTTTCTCTGGCCCCCTCCCAAACTTGACAAGTGACGACATGTATAGCCGCATGTCGTCATTCCGCCGCTGGTTGTCGAGGTGGTGCCCAGTAAATAATGTGGGCTTCGTTGATCACTGGAAGACGTTTTGGGGAGAGCCTGGTCTGATTAGGAGGGACGGCATCCATCCCACTTTGGACGGAGCTGAACTTCTTTCTAAGAACCTGACCCAGTTTCTTAGTGGACTTAATCCATGACCCAGAGTTCAGACCAGGGAGCAGAGTCGCAGTCTTACACACTTCTCTGCGCTTCAATCTGAGCAGTCACTCAGCATAATGAACCCTATAGAGACCTTGTCTGCCCCACGGACACACTTATCTAAGTTAAAGGTAAACAACCGAGGAGTTGTAGTAAATAACTTAATTAAAGTTAAAACTAATAATGCAATAGTGCAACAAAATAGGAGAATTAAAGGGGGTCTTTTGAATATCAGATCTCTGTCATCTAAAGCTGTTTTGGTAAATGAACTAATATCAGATCACCATGTTGATGTATTTTGTCTTACTGAAACGTGGTTGTTGAATGGGGAATATTTCTGTTTAAATGAAGCGACTCCTCCGAGTCATGTTAATACTCATATTCCCCGAGGCACAGGCCGAGGGGGGGGAGTGGCAGCTATTTATGACTCCTGCCTTTTAATAAACTTTAAACCTAAGGTGGATTGTAACTCATTTGAAAGCCTGGTTTTCAGTCTTTCGCAACCGACCTGGAAAATAATCCAGCCGGTTCTCTTTGTAATAGTGTACAGGGCCCCAGGTCCTTATTCAGAATTTCTTTCTGAATTTTCACAGTTCTTAACGAGTTTGGTCCTTAAAACGGACAAGGTAATTATTGTGGGTGACTTTAACATTCATGTGGATGTCGACAACGACAGCCTTAGTACTGCATTTCTTTCATTGTTAGATTCAATTGGTTTCTGTCAGTGTGTAAATAAACCAACTCACTGTTTTAACCACACTCTCGACTTGGTTCTTGTGTATGGGATTGAGATTGAACATTTAACAATTTTTCCACAGAACCCTCTCCTGTCGGACCATTGTCTGATAACCTTTGAATTTCTACTATCAGAACCACCTCCTCCTGCCAAAGGTTTCTACAGTCGACGCTTATCGGATACCGCTGTAGCCTTATTTAAAGAAGCCATTCCTTCTGCTCTAAGTTCAGTGCCCTGCCTCAAGATACAAGAAGACTCCTGTGAAAACCTCAGTCCGTCTCAGATCGATAATTTTGTCGATACTGCTACAGGCTCTTTGAGAGTGGCGCTGGATGCTATTGCTCCTCTGGAAAGAAGAATAGCAACAAGAAGGAAGTCTGCTCCGTGGTATAACCCTCAAACACGGAACCTAAAGCAAACTGTGCGGAAGCTTGAACGATTGTGGCGTTCCACCAAATCAGAAGGATCTAGACTAGTTTGGCAAGACAGCCTTAAAACGTATAAGAAGGCTCTCCGTAACGCAAGAGCATCTTATTACTCATCATTAATAGAGAAAAATAAAAACAACTCCAGGTTTCTCTTCAGCACTGTAGCCCGACTGACAGAGAGTCACAGCTCTGTCGAGCCGTGTATTCCTTTGGATCTCACTAGTAACGACTTCATGAACTTCTTCAATGATAAGATTCTGACTATCAAAGAGAAAATTGATGGTCTCCTGCCTTCAACCAGTGCCGACCTGTCCTCCTTGGATGCAGCAGTGGGCCCTGATGCCTGTTTGGATGCCTTCTCTTCCATCAACCTTGATCAACTGACTTCTTTATTTTCAAAGTCTAAATCTTCTACTTGTCTCTTGGATCCGATTCCGACCAAACTGCTTAAGGAAGTTTTTCCTTTAGTTAGCACATCCTTATTAGATATTATGAATCTGTCTTTGTTAACAGGACATGTACCACAGTCCTTCAAGGTAGCTGTAATTAAACCTCTTCTTAAGAAACCTACTCTTGCTCCAGAGGTGTTGGCTAACTACAGACCTATCTCTAATCTTCCCTTCCTCTCTAAGATCCTTGAGAAATCCGTCGCAAATCAATTATGTGACTTTCTACAAAACAATGCTTTGTTCGAGGATTTCCAGTCAGGATTCCGAGTGCATCACAGTACAGAAACCGCACTGGTGAAAATTACGAATGATCTTCTACTTGCATCGGACCAAGGACTCATCTCTTTTCTTGTCTTGCTGGACCTTAGTGCCGCATTTGATACCATAGACCATTGTATCCTGTTGCAGAGACTAGAACATTTAATTGGTATCAAAGGAACTGCACTCAGCTGGTTTAAATCCTACCTATCGGACCGATCCCAGTTTGTGCTTGTAAACGGTGAATCCTCAAAGACCACCAATGTTGGTCACGGAGTCCCACAAGGTTCTGTACTTGGACCGATTTTATTTACCCTCTATATGCTTCCTTTGGGCGATCTTATCAGGAAACACCGCATAAACTTCCATTGTTATGCAGACGATACTCAACTGTATCTGTCGATCAAGCCAGAAGAGACGGACCAGTTAGTTAGACTCCAAGAATGTCTTGGAGACATCAAAACTTGGATGACCGGCAACTTCCTGATGCTAAACTCAGAAAAAACGGAAGTTATCCTGATAGGCCCAGAGCGCCTTCGAAGCCAGCTGTCACGTGATACAGTTTTTATGGATGGAATTGCTCTGGTACCCAGCAGCACCGTCAGGAATCTGGGAGTTCTCTTCGACCAGGATATGACCTTCAACTCGCATATAAAGAAGACTTCAAGGACTGCCTATTTCCATCTACGTAACATATCAAAAATCAGGAACTTCCTGTCTCAAAGTGATGCAGAAAAATTAGTTCATGCGTTTGTCACTTCCAGACTGGACTACTGTAATTCTTTGTTATCAGGCTGCTCTTATAAATCTCTTAAGCCTCTCCAGCTGATTCAGAATGCTGCAGCACGTGTATTAACAAGAACTAAGAAAAGGGATCATATCACTCCTGTATTAACTTCTCTGCACTGGCTTCCTGTTAAATCAAGAATAGATTTTAAGGTACTTCTCCTCACCTACAAGGCACTTGCTGGTGAGGCACCGTTGTATCTTCAAGAGCTTGTAACACCGTATTGCCCTACAAGGCAACTGCGCTCCATAGATGCTGGGTTACTTGTTGTTCCTATGGTTTTAAAAAGTAGGCTGGGGGCCAGAGCCTTCAGTTATCAAGCTCCTCTTTTGTGGAACCAGGTTCCACTTTCAGTCCGGGGGGCAGATTCGGTCAGCTCTTTTAAAGTAAAACTTAAAACGTTCCTCTTTGATTCTGCCTATAGTTAGGGCTGGCTCAGGTTAGTCCGGACCAGCCCCTAGTTAAGCTGCTATAGGCTTAGAATGCCGGGGGACTTCTTAGGACACACCGAGCTCCTCTCTCACGCTCTCTTTCTACCATAATTCAAGTTTTATTAATGCACATGACTAATTCAGCTTCTTTCCGGGAGTTTTTTTGTGCTTTCGCCCCTACCAGGTCTCCATAGATCGTGGTTCCTTCGGGACCCTGGTCCTGACACCTACCGTGGCCATGCTGACGCCTGCTGCTGCATCATCATCATCATCATCATCATTATTTTAGATATTGATCATATTACTTTACTCATAAACCGCCATTACCCTCTCCTAAAATCTCTGTGCTCTCCCTCCCCACAGGATTCTGTGGATGGTGGTTCTATCTGATGGTGGTTGCCTCTGCAGTGGTCCTGCTGTGCGCCTGGCTTACTACTCACAATTACTTGAATCATTTCTGTCATAGGAATTGCATGTATTATACATTGTTCATTCTGTACACATGGCATCCATTGTAGTCTGTCCATCCCGGGAGTGGGATCCCTCCTCTGACGTTCTCCCTAAGGTTTCTTCCCTTTTTTTCCCTCTTGTAAGGGTTTTTTTCATTTTTTGGGGAGTTTTTCCTGTGCCGATGGTGGGTTTCGGGGCAGAGGATGTCGTATGTGTACAGACTGTAAAGCCCTCTGAGGCAAATTTGTAATTTGCGATTCTGGGCTATACAAAATAAAATGACTTGACTTGACTTGACTATTAACTGCAATACAGCATGTTGTCAATAACAATTAGGATGAGCCTGTTATGCAATTCAATTAAACATTGAAAATGAGACTAGCACCCTGTTTGATGAAACCAGATACTTTCCTTTTAAGTGATCCTTAGATGTATTAAATTGACCCTTGAAATAAAGTCTCCTATCATTTGAAAGTAGAAAGTCGAGTCCGTTTTGTATCAGGTGTAACTTTATGTCCCTGAGCGGTGCTTCTCAGGCGGAGCTTCTGACAGCTCGCGCTCTTCCACCAAGCCGACACGGGACTTCATGTTAGGGCCGCGTAAAGACAATATTACGGTCAATTTAAAACGACGAGTCCGTGTTTGTCCACTGTCGCCTGGACGGTCTGAAGCAGGTTAGTCCACGTCACCCTGCGAAGAGGCAGCGCCTGACAGTCTGAACGCGGGGATCACGTGCTCGCGTGACGTAGCGCCGAGTCCTCCGGTCTCGGCGGCGGAAGATGGCGGACAGCGGAACCATCGCAGAGAAGAGATGCGACTCCGGCTCGCTGTCCTCTGTGAGCATGGACACCATCTCGGCGCTGACGGAGCTGGAGGACCTGGAGAGGGTTTACCGGCAGCTGTGCTCAGAGGAGGTTGGTATAAACCACCGTTAATGGCGGTTTGTTTGACGTGGACGCTCTTGTGTCGTCATCCACGTAAACTTCCGGGAAGCTGCTGGCTCAAAACAAAAACTCCACTTCGCCGAATGACGGCCGAGTTAATGATGAACGATTAAGATATTGTAAGAGCTTGCTAGATAAAGCAAATAACACATGAAGTCAGGCTCCAGTCTCGTATTATACCACTGTTAACGCAACTCTTTCCACACTGTCTCATGTCCAACATGCATAGACAAGTATTACATGTGTGTGATTTATTTACATTGTTTATGCATGTTTTGGTAGAAAAATATTGTTGCTTATGACATGCTGTTGTCTTCTCCTCTCATACAGAAAGAAGTGGATTCTGAGCTGGACAGACTGGTGGGACAGGAAGGGACCATTCACACAAAGATGCTGGCACTGCAGAGGATGGGGTACACTGTACAAATCACTGCAGTTTCAAACTCACCCAATGATCACCATTTATTTGAGCTCTCTTATATCCACTGTATTTAAATAAAGCCGTCCCGGTGCTCTGCAGGCCCAACTTGCAGTTGATTGCTGGCGATGCCAGTCAGTTGTCGGGAATGATCACGTTTACCTGCAGCCTGGCTGAAAACGTCAGCCGCAAAGTCAGACAGCTCGACCTGGCGAAGGTAAGCGCATCCTGTATAAAACACCTTACGGCCTGAACTGTCGTTTATAGTGTGTCATAGCTTGTGCGTTTTCATCCAACTTTTTGTATTGATTAAGATTACTACAGGGATGTTGTGAAACTGGACGGCACGCAAAGACTTTAGTGTTTTTTTTTTCTTTTTCTGTTTTTGTAGACACGGCTGTATAACGTCATCCAGCGCGCCGACGACATCCTCGATCTGAAGTTCTGCACAGACGGCGTGCAGACTGCTCTACATAACGAAGATTACGAGCAGGCTGCCGCCCACATCCACCGTTACCTCTCTCTGGACCAGTCGGTTATCGAGCTCAGCCGCCAGGGGGAAGAGAGTACGAAGCCTCTAGTTCTCTGTCGTAGTGCATAGCTCAGTGTTGTTATCTTATTGCTGCTTTGTGTTTATGTACCGTTTTGACATTGCATGTGTCAGATCATTATAGGAATTTAGTTATTTATGTAAACATTCTTCCCTGCAGTGTAAATACCGATTTAAATAGAGACAATAGAGGCTTTAACTGTAACTCTGCCAATGCTTCACGTCTCCACAGGCAGTGCTGTGGATGCCAGTCTGGTGATGCTGCAGGAGGCAGAGAAGAAGCTGAAGGTGATCGTTGCTGAGAAGCTGGACGAAGCTGTTGCTGCAGTTGACCTCTCACAAGTGGAAAGGTTTTTCAAGATCTTCCCTCTGTTGGGACTCCACCAGCAGGGCCTCGCCCGTTTTGGCCAATATCTCTGCAGTCAGGTCAGTGGTGTTTTGTTCCTGTTTGAGCATTGCTCAAAAACTCGATGGTGGACTTTCCAATTAACAGTTGGTATGTTTATTGTGCAGATCCAGAGATTGTTTAAAATGTATTTTTGGAGATTACTCATCCTCGTGCAGCCTCGGTCTGGGCACATACCTTCTTAGGGCTTCTTGATTCTGGTGTTGCTCCCATTTACAAATGTGTCAGCTTTTAGTTGCATTAAAGTTCACAGTTCCCACTCTGTAAATAAATGTGGATAACGGTCTGATCCCTGAACAAAAATTGAAGGCAGAACTAGTTAATCTGACCTTCTATGATTGTAAGAAATTGTTGATTTTATGTGATGGTGGATATAGTTGGTCAGAAATAAAGATCTATATATTATGTCAAAAACATTTTCACGCATATTACAACAGCTCGCCTCCAAAGCTGAGGAGAACCTGCTCTTGGCTGCAGGGGGAGAGCTGGGCGAGAAGAGAGCACCGCTGGTATTTGCAGACACTCTGACACTGTTGCTTGAGGGTGAGAAACCAGACTCTCTCTTTCTCTCTCTCTGTGTGTGTGTGTAAACATTTACCTCCATATGCTCTAACGCGTGGGAATGCATTTACAGGTATCGCTCGTGTAGTTGAGACTCATCAGCCCATAGTAGAGACGTATTATGGTCCAGGCCATCTCTACACACTTATCACTCACCTGCAGCAAGAATGTGACCAACAGGCCCAGAAAATAGTTGACAAGTTCATCCAGCAGAGAGGATACCACAACAAGGTGAGCATGACATCTGAACTGCATGACCAGTGCGTTCCACTGCAGACTTGTATAAAAGTACAATACGTCTTCTTTTCTCCACCAGGAGAAGCAGTTAGTAAAAACACACATATTACATCTACTCAGTCCCTTTGTTAAGTGAGAACCCACCGGGTACCTGTATCCATTCCTATAGTTTCAGGTGGTCCAGAGTAGCATGATGAAGAATGCGCCAGGGGAGGGAATCAAGCCCAAGTATGTTTTTTTTTTCCAAGCAACTCCCTGCTCTCCACTGTTATTTTCTGTGAGGTATTTTAGTTTATCCGTCTGTCTCACGCGAACAGAGAATTGGACCCCGTACTGACTGAAGTCACCCTGATGAACGCAAGGGCCGAGCTCTACCTGCGCTTTTTACGCCGTCGCGTGCTGGCCGACTTTGAAGTCGGGGATGCTCAGAGCGTCACACAGGGTAGTTATACATTAACGCATGCGGCGATTCCCTTTTTAGATATAAAAAATCTAACATGCTGTTTCTTTGCACATATTTGAACAACCAGAGCACCAGCAGAACGTGGAGAAGCTCCTAAAACACTGTTTGCTGAGCAGGACGATGCAAGAGCTGATTGGATACTATGTTCCAATGGAAGAGTACTACATGAGAGAGTCCGTCAACAAGGTACGGTTTCATCCAGTACGCTGTAAAGATATTTGAGTCATATCAAAATAAGTAACAGTACATGCAAAACGGTAACGATTATGAATCTTATTAGGACTATAAAGCTTATTTTGCAAAACTATTGTATGAAAATATTGGCAAATGTAGGTGTTAAAATTATCTGATCCGGCAAAATAGTCTAATAAAACCCAACCTCAACAAAAAATAACTTATGTTATGCCTTTTAACTGATTGGAATATAATATGAAAGCGTTCAATATTTATGATATTTCACACGTTTAATGTCATCTTAAACTATGAGAACGTATTCAATTTAAATTAAATGTAAATGCAAAGTTGTTTTCCTCCTCAGGCTGTTACTATGGATACATATGAAAAGGGTCAGCTGAACTCCAGTATGGTGGATGACTGTTTCTACATCGTGAAGAAGTGCATCAGCAGAGCGTTATCTAGCTCCAGCATCGATTGCCTCTGTGCCATGATCAACCACGCCAACTCTGTGCTGGAGTCTGACTTCAGGTGCTCACTCTCGTCTTCTAAACACATTTTATGTGTTCAATGCTTTTCTTTGTTTCCCCTTTCTTACGTCTTCTTTTCTTCCCGTCTCGGTGCACCTGTCAGGGAGGTGCTGAATAATAAGCTGCGGCAGGGGTTCCCGGCTACGACACTTCAGGACATCCAGCGGGGCGTCAGCAGTGCGGTCAGTCTGATGCAGAGCAGCTTGCAGCAGGGGAAGTTCAACACAATGGGCATCGAGAGCGCTGAAAACGCCAAGGCGGCATTTCTGGTAAGATGCATAGACGCTGTCCTAAAGTCGCTCTCAGGCAGGATCTTAGACATTGTCTAAGTGTTCAAATCATCATTAACTTAGGAAAGGAATTAAATACAACTTTGCCCTGATTTAATTGCAATGGGTCTTGAAGAAAGCAGCATTTAAAAATGCATAGCTACCAAAGTAATTGTAGACTTTGACCATGTTGGCTCTTTTCTTTCTCTCTATCTCAGGTGACTCTGAATAACGTTGAGGTGTGTAGTGAGAACATCACAACTTTAAAGAGGAACCTTGAGGTACGTTGTGCTGACACTCTGCATCTATTCATCTTGTTACTTATACTTGACCTCTTTGCCTGAAGATTCACTTCTTTTTTTTTTCTTTCCTCGCAGAATGACTGCTCCAAGTTGTTCAATCAGGGCCCCGGCTCTGGGGAACAAGCTAAGATTGAAAGCTGCTTGTCCGACCTCGTCAACACATCCGCCAAGTTCAAGGATCTCCTACAGGTTGGTGTCACACATTGACACAAATACACACACATTGACAGGCGGACTAAAACCTTCTGTCGAAGGTTGAGTAGGTTTTATAGCAATGTAACACAGGACTTGAGGATCTGAGGTTGTGACCAGTAGATGAAACTTGTGGTAATATAATCCTCTTTGTCCCCATTGTCCAGCCAGAGTTAAAAAGTTTGTACTCTGATCTGATTTTACTTCACAGGAGGGCCTGACTGAGTTAAACACAACAGCTATAAAGTCTCAGATCAAACCCTGGATCAGCAGTTTCCTCTCCATCACACACAACATAGAAGAGGTAACGGTATCACAACAGGGAACGACAATAAACTTGAGGTTACGTAACATGTTGCTGTAACAGCTGGTGTTCTTCACAGGAGGAGTTTAATGATTACGAAGCCAATGATCCCTGGGTGCAGCAGCTCATCATCAACCTGGAGCAGCTCATGACGGAGTTCAAGGTATCTTGTCTGAGCAGCTCTGACTCCAAAATATGAATGCATCCTTCCTTCTTATCATTTCAACTTATCTATGTCTCCTCACCAGACGGCCTTGTCTCCTATCATCTACGACACTCTGACCAGCCTGATGACCAGCCTGATATCTATTGAAATGGAGAAGACCGTTCTCAAATGCTCATTCAGCAGGGTGAGGAGCCGGGCTCGGCCACTGGGTGGCACCGCACCATCTGCATCGCACTGCATCACATCACTGGCACATGATGATAAGCCTGAGCAATGATTTATTAATGAGTTCAGAGAGACCTGCAGGAGAGGAGGCCTCCTTTTGTCACGAAAGCATCCTGCTATTTTAAGCGTGTTCTCCGTGAACCTCTGGATGAATGTTCATACGTTCTGCAACATGAAGTCCGTTCACTGATTCGGTTTGTTCTGTCCTAGCTCGGAGGGCTGCAGTTTGATAAAGAGCTTCGGTCTCTTGTGGCGTATCTCACCACCGTGACCACCTGGACCATCAGGGACAAGTTCGCTCGCCTCACACAAATGGCCACCATCCTCAACCTGGAGAGGGTAATCTCGATCATGTTGCAGACATACTCTGTATAATTGTGTGTTCATGGCAGAAGTGGAATGTAACCAAGTACATTTACTAGAGTATTTCCATTTTATTTTATTTTATACTTAAGTTGACTTCAATATTTATCTAACGGGTTTAGTTCATGTTACTTTACAGATTAAGATTATATGTACAAAACATTTGGGATTTTTTGAAATGGGGCGGCGCTGATGCTTTGCTTTTACTGACTATTACTTACTTGAAGTAAAGCGCAGTACCTCGCTCCGTTTTCTCTCTGCAGGTAACCGAGATCTTGGATTACTGGGGCCCAAACTCGGGCCCTCTGACGTGGCGGCTGACCCCGGCGGAGGTGCGTCAAGTTCTGGCACTTCGCATTGACTTCAGAAGTGAAGATATCAAGAGGCTGCGACTGTAACTGATGAACAAATGATTGACCTGCGATACCGACCCTGTGAAGCTTTGCACTAAAGAGTTCTGCACAATCCAGGTTTAATCCATGTTGCAAGG